AAAATGTTCGTATTTTGTCCTTCAGTAATTAATAGTTTCATTAATTCTGTTAACTGATCTTTTTCTTTTCTTTTTTTTTATTTTGCAGCAATTCTCCGATCAGAATCCAGAGAGTGCGTCTGGCATCAAACTGACAATGGCACAACTCTATTTAGTACAAGGTAGTGATCTGCATTCGAACACACACACCCCGCTCTGTCTTACTGTTTTTTTTCTCTGTGGACGTGATAGTATTTCATATTTCTAGCTTCCTAAAACAAACACGCACATTGATTATTATCGCCTGAGTACTGAAACAACAATAATTAATAAAGAAACAAACGAGTGCAACTTCAAAAGGTTTTTTACCTTTAAACTTTGAGCAGTTTAATTTTGATACATGCTCCTCATTAGGTGTTATAATCCAATGAATGGTTTGGTCTTCAGGTCATGTGACAAAAGCCTGTGATGTCCTGAGGTCCATTGAAGAGTTCAAGCACAAACCAGGGATGGTAAGACTAAAGATGCTACTTTGACTTTTTTTTTTTTTCTTAAATTGTTGTTTTTCTTAATTAAAATGCCCCGTTAATGTCAAAATTGTTGACTTTTACGTTTTTTGTTCCCTCATATATTTATTTTGACCATGTCATCGTCTCTTCAGGTTTCAGCTCTGGTAACAATGTACTCCCATGAAGAAGACATCGACAGCGCCATCGATGTTTTCAAACAAGCTATTGAGCATTACCAGTCTGAACAGGTTTGTGTGTCACGGATGGTGGTTCGTGTTGTGCAAGTCTGAACCACTGGTTTACACTTTAATTTCTGTTGTGTATAGGTCAAACACTTTTTAAGTGTGCATTTTGATTTCAGTTAGCTTTCATTTTAGACGTGTGAACGTGTTCCCACTGTGTCTTTTCTCCTACACAGCCTGGATCTGCTACACATTTGGCTCTTGTAAGAGAAGCTGCCAATTTCAAGCTGAAGTATGGACGGAAAAAAGAAGCCATTAGTGATCTGGAGCAGCTGTGGAAGTGAGTTAAATCCCTGCTAAACACTCGGCTGGTTCAACATGTGTCAAGTCTTTTTAAATCTCACAGATGCTGGTTTTATTTCTTTATAAAATATACCTCAAATGTCATCAAACAGTTTTCATAAAAATCACTTTTCTCAAAACAGACAAAACACCAAGGACATCCACACATTGGCACAACTCATCTCTGCATATTCTCTAGTGGACACGGATAAAGCCAAATCGTATCCTTTCATATTATTAAATACAACTTATGGACGCTTAAACGGTTTTGTTTTGTTTTTTTTACTAACTGGAACATATTTGGATTCTCAAATAACATTTGTTTTGTGAAAAATATCAAATATATTCTGATTTTAGCTCCTTCAATTTGAGGATTTGTTATTTTTCTCTGTGGGAAACTAATGTTTTTGTGCTTGGAAGTCAGAGAGAAAACAAAAAAGATAAAAAGACCTTCTTTAGTTCATTTTCAACAAAGCTTGGTATTATGTTGACAAAATAGTTTATTAATTTTACAAATGATCCATACCTTATTGAAGTAAATGTAACCCAGGAAGACCAGGATGTAATCTGGATGTCAGCAGTTGTTGCATCCTTAGCTTTTTTCTACAGGCTCAGCAAACACCTACCGTCTGCAGACACCATGTCCTTCAACGTGGACGTTGACGAGCTGGAGAATTCCCACGGAGCCACATACGTCAGGAAAAAAGCCGCTAAAGTCGTGGGAGAAAACCCTCCCAAAGAACAAGGGTAAATGTCTGTTACTCTCTTCTGTGGCTACTTCTGTTATTTTTTTGTTTTTGTGTTTTTTGTTTTTTGTTTTTTGGGGGGGTGTTTTTTAGTGTGTTCTGCAAATGTT